CATTTTGAGCTGACAAGCGCAATGCGTAGATGAGGCGTTCATGATCACGTCTGCGAAACTTTGCAACGCTACGCGCCGCGGAAATGGGTCAAATTTCAAGATGAACGCTGCTCCTCCTTCCTTTAAGCGGGCGCGGGCCCAGAGAACCAGGGAATGACGTGGGCATATGAATGGCCCTACGTACACGGCAATGAAGGGACGTTGGTCCGCTACGTAAACGACTATGCTCTGACATTGTCAACAGTGGCATAGCGAAAATTATTTAACATGACCTGCGTAGTTTACGTATTTGTAGCTTGAAGAGATTAATAAATTATTAGATGAATAATGAGACGCAATGAGAGAATGCGAGCGTTTTTGGAGCAAAACTTTTTATAGTGACACCCGTTGTCCCTCGTAGCTGTTGTAGTATGTAACAAGTATAACATTTTGACCTCCAAGGTGGTGCCTGTGAGAGATTTCTTCTGTGCGTTGTTGAACAATAAAAAATAGTGCTCAATGTACATGTCCATGGCTGCTAATGGGGAATGAAAGACAGGAGCATTCGGCTTTTAGTTAACGCGCACGCTGAAATCCCCATTAGCAGCCATTGGCATGTACATTGAGCACTATCTGACTGAAAAAGTTTGCTACGTCATACTCGCTGGGCGTAACCTCCTTGGTTTTCGAAAGGTTTAGCGAGCGTTGGGCCACAGTTCCATGAATACAGTGAACTAGTATATACCTTGAACTCGAGGTGGTTAAAGGTGGGACGTAGACCCGAAGCGCAGGCCGTAAAAAGTGTGCGTGTGCCACCTCTCGTTTAGTCCTTGAAATGTCCGCTCGATGGCGGAGCTTCTATATGGGGAATATATGATGAAAATATGCGAGATGGCGGTGTTTGGAGTGTTGAATAGGTGGACGAACGGACACACAGACAGATGCATGGATGGACGCATGAACGGACGCAGGGACGGACGCACGAATAGACGTACGCGCGGATGGACGCATGGACGGTCACACAGACGGATGCATGGACGGACCGAAGCAAGAACGAATGGACGGACGAATGCTTCCCCCCACTCTCCATCATTCACTCCGTGGATATGCTGCCATTTTTTTTTCTTTTTTTTTTCTCCTTGAATTGCAACGAGATTCGGGGCTATCGTGCCGGCGTTACGCATGCATTAGTGTCCCCGTGGTCAGCGCATCGAGCAGACGACAACCATAGAACGCTCCTACGCGTTCGCGCACCCATCGTGCTCATCCAAGGCGCTGGCTCATCTATTCTACCGCGTCTAAGCCAGCGCTTCCAAACCATCCCGCAGAAACAGGCAGTAGACTTCAATACAACACTGATCAACAACAACAACAATACAAAAAACAAAAAACACCGCTTGCGTGCACGGCGGTTGGGCTTGTTCGGGCACGTCATGCGCATGTAAACTCTCGGTCAGATACCGGAGGGGGTAGGGAAGAAATTTGGCTTGCACAGGCTACGCGGAGGAGCGGCAACGATTTTGAGCTCACCTCCTCTCATCCTCGTTTCACGCCAATTCAAAAACAAACAAAAAAAGTAATAAGCTGATTCAAAAAGTTTTGTGGTAAAATGTTCCTTATCGGACATCCAACAACTTCCATGGTCTAACTAAAATTTGGTATGAGGCCTAGTGAGTGGCCCTTTAAAGATCAAGCAGAACGACTTCAGAATGCTGGCTACCCCTCTCACATACAGATTTCTGTCATGGGAAATTGGTCAAAAAGCTTTACGACCTTCACAAAATATATATTATACGACTAAGTGTAGATCTCTATCGGTTTCACTTCTGAAGCAAGCGTCAACCACCCCACAGATGTTATTGAGGTGTTTAATATCGTCAGATTAAGATCCAATAGAATATCAGCTTTTTTCATCGAAAGTGAAAAAAAAAAAAACTTTCATCGCTAAGATACCACATGCCGTGTGTACTATGCTCCCTGACAAATTCACAACATGCACGTAGCTGACACGCAAAACCCCAGGAGCAAGAAGATTGAAACAAGTATACTCTAAAGTTTTCAGCCGGGAACACAGCTTGTGTTTTTGCACACGAGCTCACCTTTTGAGCCTGTACAACTCACATAGAGACACGAACCGCTGGCATCGCACACTCCGATCTACCAATCTCCCGTTTAGACAAAAGCTCATCAACTAAAAGCTTTTGTCGCGCACATTGCGACAGGCGAGGATTTTCCGTTTGCCACGCTTCGACTTTCGCTTCGTGTAGCGGCTCGAAATGAAAGATCAGGTGGTCCTCGGTGCATGTATAGTGCATTGAACTTCATGTAACGTGGGACGTCCTCGGTGGCAAGGCGTGACGGCGCTCTTTGAATGAACCGACCCGAACGACGGCTCCTCATTTGTCTCTTTATGTTTCCGTAGACATCAGGTGACGTATAACGTAGCTCTGTCGACAGAGTGGCGCGCACTTACATTAACGTGGGAGGTTACACGGGAGACATAGTAAGTGCAGCTCAAAACGATGATGGTACAAGAAATAGAAAAAAGCGCTAAAACAACGCTGGGTTTTAGCTAACGTTTCTCTCAATTATGTTCGATGGTTTGTACGACGGGCAAGCAATGCGTAAATTGAAAGAAGGTTTTCTTTTGTTTTCCTCGTGTAGATTGAAAACACGACTGTTTACCGGTTTCTCAAAGATATAGTGTTGCTAGGTAAAAGGTGATCTAGTCTGACTTAGAACTACAAATCATACAGTGCTAGACACATGGAGTATAGAACGAACGAAACTGAAAGTATTTCAAAAGGTCGCTGTCTTTTTTTTTTATCATGAAATCGCCCATAGCCGATAGCGCTATACGAGCTAATGCACTTTCACCGCAATGCGCTCGAGGAGAGTAACAAAATTCACTTCGGCAGCTGCCGAGCCCACGAGGTTGCCCACTCAGCTCGACAAGAATATCTCTGGGTAGTGAGATCTTGCCCATCTTTCGAAAGCGGTTGCAACAAAGTCACCTCTCGGTCCGAATTATTGAGACTCCCACAGAGACTCGATCGTCTTCAGACAACGCGACTGTTTTTCATGTGGTTGGGAGTCGCATATGTGTTGCATTACTTCTTTAAGAGAGAGAGATAGAGAAACTAAGGGGAAAAGGAAGGAGGTTAACCAAGCTTTGTCTTGGTTGGCTACCCCACACTGGGGAGGGGGAGGGAGATTATAGAAAGGAAAGAGTTAGAGAGAAAAGAGGGACCGTAAAAAAAAAAAAGACGGATGGACAGTTTGCTTGAAGCTACACAACACGAATTCGCGTTGTTAGTTCACAGGTGCTCGCAACCTCCGGTGGTTCTCAAGAAGCAACAAAGCACAGGCGGGCTGTCGTCACTTTAAACATGTGCGAAACAGTAGAAAAAAGCGGCTATCAGCACAGCGTGCTGCATTTTCTGCTGCGAAGAAAAAACAGGGGCCCTTCTGTGCCCTACTAAACGTGCTCGTCAGGCAGTGCACTGAGCAGTTTGGATTACAACCCTTACATGCTAGGGGAGAAAAAAAACCTGAGAATGATCGCGCATGCAAATAAGGCATACAAAGGTGGAACAAGAGGTGGGGATAGGAAAGTTGATTTTCATCGTGGTCGCAAGTACGTAAGTAAATATGGGTCGTTGTATTACTAAGGTACTGACTGATCCTTGTCACTGCTCTACCAGAGCATTCTTGTCTAATGTTTTGTTGTACTAGCGTGATTGTAAGAAGCAGTTTCTATGAATACGTATATATATAGACAACCACGAGAGAGAACACAACTTTATTGTCGTCAGACTCTAGGAGGTAGGTGATCCGCCAGGACCAACCTTCTCCTCCCCTATATATATCCTGCGGCTTGACTGCCAGGCTGGTGATCGTCAAAAGCGCCTCCCACGCTTAAGGCGAAAGAGTAGCCAGAAGATTGGGAGAGGGGGGCTGTTTCCTGCAGGCCCAGTAATTCCTTTATTTATAGGATTGCCTCGAAGGAATTATCGCAGGAGAAACTTCTTTAGCATCATATGTTACATGTTTTGTAGAGACAAACTACAAAAGATATACTAAACAAGGCCAACATCACGGGAAACAATAGGTTATTGTAAAATGCGTTTTTTAAACACAATCTGGAATCAAATGCAGATACAGACACTTAGCCTTCCGGTGACACGTTCCAATCTCGTACAGTTTGTGGGAAAAAGACCTTAAAGGATAATTTGTGTTGCGACTGTATACCTGTACTTTTTTGGACTAGCCGATGTGACTGAGTGCGGCTATCAAACCACAATCCGAGCAATCCTGGTCAATCGTGTCGGGGTATATAAGTGCATAAATGTACGAAAAGGAGTGCCTTATAATTGATCCTTGGCATACCAGTATCAGTGAATGCAAATGCATGAGTCAGCGTCCTGGTTACTTTGCATGAAGACGGAATGAAATGCATCAGCAGTTACCTCATTTGTATACCGGCACTGGAGGCTGGCTGACGGGTGGCGCTGCAGTTCTTGAACACGCGCAAATAGGTTTCGCGCCGAGCTGTTGATGCCGTTGATGCGTTGTAAAAGCTCGCTAACTTAATTGCGTGTGTGCACTGTCGAGAGGGAAAGCTTTCAGATATGGAAGAAGGAGGATTAGCACATCTTTAGAAAGCGTGCGTGGAGTGAGTGTCACCATTGACCCCTGGTGTATCCGTTCACGAGACTTCATCTTCACCACCCGGAGCAAACAGTCGAGAAATTACCTCAAAATGCCGTCATTTAAATGAGACAAAATTAGCAGATTGACTTTGAAACCAATGGCGCTTCTATTTGCAGTGGATATCTCCGCACCATTTAACATGATGTTCATCACCAACATAGTCAAGTGTCAGGCCAGTTGTGCCGAGTTCTTGGGCAGACCCCCGTTGTGGGTACGAGCCACGTTTACGAATCTTGAGAATAATACAATGGCTGTCGCAGGCGTCTTGCCGGCGTCTTGGGTTGTCTTGAGGTGACAGCCGGTTAGCCATGGAAAGCCAGTCGGCGGCGGAAGTCACCGATGGTTGCCGGGTTGACGTCGAAGAGACGCCGTGTCCTTCACCGTCTCGAGACCATGCAGTGAGCACCGCATCAGCATGCACGGAATCGACAGAAACAGCGCCGTCCGGCTCTCAAGACCGTTACTCAGGCGAGCAAGGCATCGAAATTCTGAACCCGGAACTCATACGGCTGATCTTCGGATACCTCGACGTACAGAACCGGGGACGCATGGCGCAAGTGTGCACCGCCTGGAAAGCTGTGGCCGACGAGCCCTGCATCTGGGTGAACGTCGAGGCGCGGCTGAGGCTTTCCGAGAGCTGTGCACCGGTGCTGGACTGCGTCGCTCGACGGGGCATTCGGCGAATCAAGGTGCTCAGCTACAAGGAAGACCAGGTGGCGCAACTATTGCGGGCACTGCCGGACATCCGGTGTCTCGATTTGTCCGACAACTATAGCGTGAACAACAACGTCATCCTGGGGGCGTTCAAAGACACGACGTACGAATCATGCACCGTTCTGAATCTGAGCTGGTGCCCGCAAATCGACGACTCAGCGATAGATTGCCTCAGCAGCCGGCTTCCGAATTTGGAGGAGCTGTACTTAGTTGGATGCGACCACATTGCCGATTCCAGCATGGGCTTCATCGCCGCCAGGCTGCCAAAGCTCAGGGTGCTCGATATTAAGGAATGCGAAGTGTCCAACGCTGGCCTGCAAAGACTGGCGGGATTCGGCGAAGACGGTGTGCTATCGACCACGCTCGGCGTGAAAGCGCTTACACATTTGGGCCTTGAGGACTGCACGCTCGTTTCCGACTGCCGGCTTGGAGTCCATCAGCTTGGGCTTGGTCCAGCTGTCGAGCTTGGATCTCAGTATGTGCCTCAGTGTGACAGACTCGGGACTACAGCACGTCGGAGAGATGGCGTCCCTCAAGAAGCTGTCTCTGGTCAGTTGTGAGGAATTGACGGGCCTCAGCATTCAGCATCTTGCCGTAGGCCGGTTTTCACTGTGCAGCCTGGATCTCTCTTACTGTAACCACATTGATGACGACGCCATTTCAAATATCTCGCGTGGTTCGGGGCTGGTTACTCTGACCACGCTCAACATCACCGCCTGTCCCATCACGGACGTCGGCGTCTCCTTGTTGGCGCAGAAGCTGACCGACCTGAGGACGCTGAACATTTCCGAGTGTGATCTGGTCACCAAGGATGGCATCGCCGTCGTGGCTTCGCATCTGCACAATCTACGCGTCATTCACATGAGGTACTGCATGGGCCTGACTAACATTGCTCTGAAGCACTTGTCTCGCATCTCTAGCCTGGAGGTGGTGGTACTGAAGAGCTGCAGCAAGATAAGAAGCAAGGCAATGGCGTTCATAGCACCCGGTAAAACGCCGTCGAACATCGTGGAACTGGACGTGAGTTTCACGGCCGTAAACGACGTTGGTGCCCGCTACATAGCACAGGTGAATACTGTTTTCACTGCTCTTTACAATGCCGGCAATTACGCTGCATGATCGTCATTCAGTGTGGGTGTTTCATCATACACCTAGTCGCACTATAGCAAGTCCGGCAGCGCCGAGAGCGGGCGAGGAAGAGCAACTTGACGTAGATACCTGTTCCCACTCGAACAGATTAAGAAGGAGGTAGAGAGAAAGACTGAAGAGCGTAAATTAGTAGGAGACTACTTTGTGGCATATGCCTGGACGTGTTGCTGGTGCACGTGTTGGTAAGCTTCATTGATTACTGCTACGTATGCGTGGGTGCAGCAATGTATGAAGATACTGCAGCCGCCTTCGGGCGGCATTCCTTCAGTCTCATAAGGCGACAAGATCCAGACACGTTTATGTTAATTCATATGAGCATATGATTATACCTAATGATTGATTTGTGGGGTTTAACGTCCCAAAACCACCATATGATTATGAGAGGCGCCAATTATACCTAATGAGAAATGTGTTAAGCATAATCTGGAGAAGAAAAAACAGAAGCGCTGTTGTCGTGCATGTCTCAAAGTCATTGGAACTTGAGTCTTACAGCATCGCCTATGTTTTAATGTGCGCTGCCTTGAATAGCCTGCTATAGTTGATTACTTACTGCGTGCAACTATTGCGGAGGAGTGCCAACTCATTTTAAGGAAAGAAGCCACATATTCCCTGTTTGTCCAGCGATACGTTAAGCCATTGTAGAGCTGCAAGTCGTCGCGTGTTCATCAAATCTGCCATTTTAAAGGAAATCATATAATTTATTTGACGCAGTTAGGCATTCTTTATGAACAATTCCCTGTACCAGAAAACGTCTCAAGATTTTGGATGGGGCTTTAGGGAATCATTGAATGTAGCTGCAGTTTTACATCGATAACGTTTGATTTTGTCGGTAGTAATTTGCTTGCGTAGTGAAGTACACTTGCATGCACACGCAAATAAAGGAGCAGAAACTGAGAAATATTTCTCTTGTAAAATAAAGGTAAAGGCTAAGGAGGAAATGCGTTTCTTCACACTTTCCTTCATGGTCACAGTGTAGTAGGATACACACAGCGTCGACAATTTTCAACTTTCACTTACTTCTGGTGAATTTATGAAGCCTGCGCAACCCGGAGAGAGTGCGAACATCGCCACATTGTGTCCCTCATAGAATGAATGGATCAACAAGTTGATTTCACGCACTAAACACAACGCTGCTTACTTGATTGGTCATCTACGCTTGCATAATGACTTGTTGCTTAGGTATAGATTTTCTCTCATGTCCTGTACATGTCTTTCAATAAAATAGCAGTAGGTGGTGAAGTCAAAGTCATTGTTTTTCTTTTTCTTGCGCATAGTCTCGTGCAAGCGTTTTTTTTTCAACTATCGCGTCTTAAATCGCTAGTTTATATACATAGGCAATTTTACGGAGGGGTTTCGGTGCCGTCATGACATTCTATGTTTAACAATTTAACGAGCATATATGATGATGATATGTGTGGCTTAACGTCCCAAAACCACCACATAATTATGAGAGACGCCTTAGTGGAGGGCTCCTGAAATTTCGACCACCTAGGGTTCTTTAACTTGAACCCAAATCTGAGCACACGGGCCTATAGTTATATGAGCAGTGTCATGACAGAGGAATGCAGTTAAAAACGGCTGGACCAGTGCATTAGACATTACATGACCTTGTTTATTCTCTTAACGATATGCAAAAGTAAGAAAACGTTCGTTAAACAGCACCAGGTGGTGCTCCCGCGCTTCCGGTGCTAAATCGTCTACACCATTGCGTACACACGTGCCATGCAGGGGATGCAGAAGTTGCGCGTCCTGAACTTGAGTGGCTGCATGGTGGGCGACAAAGGAATCGCTCGCATCGCGCGCAGCCTGAGCAGCCTGTGCACGCTGAAGATCGCGCGCTGCCAGGAGATCAGCGACAACGGCATCAAGGCGATCGCCTGCAACCTGAAGAAGCTGAAGGCCATTGACATCAAGGGTTGTCCGAGGACCACGTCAGCCGGAAGGAGGTGTCTGGTCGCCAGGTTGCCGAACCTGAAATTTCTCTGAGGTGTCTGGTCGCCAGATTGTCAAACCTGAAATTTCTCTAACGTCCAAAATCTGAGGGAAAAAATAGTACGAGCACACTGAACTGAGTAGCCATACCACTCGGTTGCATTTTCGTATGACACGCGGACACCAGCTGGTAACTCTGAAAGGGATCGTCGCAATTAACGATTACTAGTTTCACGGATTACGAGTATTTTTCAAGTGTTGTGAGGTTTAGTGGCTTCGGATTTATTAGAAGACTGTAAGCATATAAGCGATCCTATGTAATTGATTAGTTTCGCCCGATAATAAGAAATAGTGCGTAAATTGAAACCCGAAGACAATGGCATGGAAACACGCCTTTGCTTAGGAAATTTTGATTATGTTGCTCAGGTAACTGAAAAATAAGTCTTTTATTGTCATGCAATCATGTTCGTATATGCTGCATTTTAAAAGCGCAGCATCTCCTAATAAAGCAGATTTACTTGACGACTTTGCGCGTGAAATCACGTTTTCACTATGGTTCCCACCAAGCAACGAGACGAGCCGTCAATACCACCTGACCTCTTTGATCGCTCTCCGCATGCCCACTGGCCCTGACCGAAGAGGAGTCACCCTTCTTCATAACTTGTGGCTAGGAGTGGCATTTACAAAATCATATTCCTTGGTCATAGGAATGGCGGACAACGCTCTCTGCGATGCCTGTCATTGCGAAGAGACGCTACACCACATCATGTGCGACTGTCCGTTGTATGACATCCAGAGACAGTCACTGGCATCCGTTCTTGCGCGCATCGATAACAGCCAAAGGTCTATGGACACTATTCTGTCAAGTGCCCGAGAGAAGAAACAGAAGGCGACAAAACCTCTGTTGAAATTCCTACGCGACACGGACTTGAACAAGCGGCTGTGTACAGCAATGTCACACATCGCGAAAGACAAGACTTGACAATGAATGAGTATGCGTGCGTGTGCAACCGAATGTGCTGTGTTAATCTCTCTTCCCTCTCTGCTATCTATATTTCATCTCCCCCATCTCCCTCCCACGCGCAGGGTAGCAAACCGGCGCCTATAGGCTGGTTAACCTCCCTGCCGTTGTTTTCCTCCTGTTTTTCTTCATTTTTTTACTCTATCTATCTATCTATCTATCTATCTATCTATCTATCTATCTATCTATCTATCTATCTATCTATCTATCTATCTATCTATCTATCTATCTATTGATGTATGTATGTATGTATGTATGTATGTATGTATGTATGTATGTATGTATGTATGTATGTATGTATGTATGTATGTATGTATGTATGTATGTATGTATGTATGTATGTATGTATGTATGTATGTATGTATGTATGTATGTATGTATGTATGTATGTATGTATGTATGTCGTGGTCATCTCTAACTGGTATTTATTGTAGTTTAGGCGGCGCTGCAAAGTTTAGAACAGGAAACAAACCACTGAACAAAGAAAGTGGATCTAACGACTAAGATTATTGAAACAAGAGAAAACAAAAAATGGGGGAGAGAAGCAGAGGTGACCTACAAAGCAGAGGGCGCTGTAGGAAAACCACACGTGATCCTACAGCACCTTCTCCTTTTATGTCACCTGTTTCCCCTTCCTACTCTTTAGTTTTTCGTTTCAATAAGTTCAGTTGTTAGATGCACTTTTCCGTGTAGCCCAGTTTTTTTTTTTCTTATTCACACCTTCTCAACACTGCCTTTACCTGCAGCAAGTTCCTACTAGCCCCCACACAAGCTTTTCTGATTGTTATTTGCGAACGAATAATTACATAGCACAACTTGAGTGTATTACGAACACGATTCGCATGTCGGGGCATAAACGATATGAATTATCAATCGCGTACATGATGAAATCCTTCACGACAGTTCAACATTGCACGTATCAGCTTAGCGGTGCCCGATGTATACATGGCATGTGCAGCATGCGATTTACAATATGTATTAACACTGACATGAGAAATTATAACACGACAACGTGGAGCCAGTCGGCGGTGTTGTCGATGGGCAAAATATTCCGTTGAAAGCCAAGAACAAAGAGTTGGAGCGTGCTTGAGCTTCGCCTTCGAGAGTAGAACGCGATAGCGTAATCTGGTCCCATTCGCATCGCCTTCTCAATCGCTGGAATTTGCTTCACTTCTCAATGGACACCTTAACTGTGGGGCAAGTTAGGTAACCTCCAACAATCCGAGAATGCCTGACGCAAGTACAAGTTTCCGAGTGTCCATGCACTACGAGATGATTCAACCTTTTGTGAATGGGTGGACAGGTAACCTGCCCACGTCCGCAAGGCAACATTTCACAGTGGCGTTCTTTATTGATGCTGTTGCTGATAACGATGATGAACTATGTCTGTTCGCCTTGTAATTGGTAGGCCTTTAAACTGAGCACTCGTTACGCAACTCCCACCTTTGCACGCCCGGCGCGATTCTACCCTTCTGCAACGCATTATTGTTTGCACTGAGAAGACTCCTCGCATTACACAATATTCCGAAATACAATTGAGCACGGGGGTGGCTCTGCGGTTGAACACCTACTTGCCACGTAGAAGTTTTAGGCTTGATCAATATCTCAACTAAATTCTTTATTAATCGTTTATTCGTATACATTTGTCTCCAACTTGACTTTCTTTTTTTGTTTTGCACATAAAAAGGTATAAAAATTAGTAGGCTACGTTAAAACCGGCTATCCAACATCACGGATACTGATATACAAGATAAAACACAAAGATAAAAAAAATAAAATGTTTGAAATGTTTTCAAATCTTTACACAATACATTTGTTCAATATTTATTGGCGTGTTTCTTTACTGTTCTTGCTGTTCTATTAATGCATTAGGTATAGGGCATGCTTTCAGCCGCTGCAACCGCTCAGTGTGTGAGGTGGCCAGGTTCTCCTCAAGCAGCACAGTACAGCTTTTTCGCCTGATCTCCTCGCAACTTTGTTGCGCAATAAACTCGATTCAATTAAATTAAACTCATAATAAAAATATAAAAATAGAAAACATATTTAGAACCACTATGTACATCTGAATACATACGAAACGAGCTCATTAACGCTATCGCGTCGAAATCGCGGCTCGAGCCAAAATCGAGCCAGGCTTCTTGCATGGCAGTCAAGTACTGTACCACAGAACGACGCCAAGAGTTAAAGCTGGTTCGGAAAAAGACACTATAAGCAAGCGTTAAATCAGCACATTGGCAATGGGTGTTGGTGTGTTATTTATTCGCTATTAAGCCCCGCCACGGTGGTCTAGTGGCCTAGGTATTTGGCTGCCGACCCGCATGTCGCGGGATCGAATCCCGGCTATGGTGGCTGCATTTTCGATGCAGGCGAAAATGCTGTAGGGCTGTGTGCTGACATTTGGGTGCATGTTAAATAACCCTAGGTGGTCGAAATTTTCAGAGCCCTCCACAACGACTTCTCTAATAATCATACGGTGGTTCCGGGACGTTAAATCCTACAAATAAATCAGTTATCAGGCTATTGTAGCAGTGTAATAAAAGTTACATATTGTTACGAGAAGACCGACTCGGAAGAGCAGACGCAGATATATTTACAGCCGGTTAAGCAAGCAATACGTATTAAATACAGCATTAGCAATACATATTAGCCCACACCAGTCTATCTTCTTTGCCCTCATCATCTCCATGCCACTAGTACGTTGCAGTATGTAAAAGGGCACCCAGAAGTTTAAGAAGCGTGGGCTTCGCCGCAAATACGAATATCTGCTCTGTTAGTGCGCAACGCTTCTAACCTAGCAAGGAACTGTGTAGGTCGCATGGACTGGTAAAGCCTAAAATATCTATTTGCAGGCTATGTTCTCTGACGAAGTGGGAATAGATCTTTTAGAAGCTTGCTCGCAGAGCTTCTTATGCACGGGGCATGTCCCTTGAGGTGTACGATACAGGCACAGCCGTGCGATGCACACACCACACGCCCACCGTAACTTTCATGAAGTAGGGAAGCACCGACTATGCCACTATGCCATTCATCATTCTGCTGATAAGCGAGGTACCCACTACACACCTGTAACACGTTATGTACACTTAGTGCTGCGAAGGAGGCTCGTTGACAGGCGGACCCAGAGGTGAGAGCCCGCGAAGCGGAAGCGGCACGTAAGTGGCGGCAAGAGAACATCGACTCGGGACTTGTATTGATATTGGCTTCTCCAGCTTCGAACTGCAACCTCTAATTCGAGATCCCCTCGCCGCATACTTCACCGACCGTAAAATCGTAATGTTCAAAGGAAAAGGAAAAGTCCCAGAGCTTAGTAATCTGTAATGTAATCCTTGTTTATAATGACGTCAATGCCCAAATGCTTACATCTTTCGTATGCATAAGTGTATATGCAATCATCCATATAACAACGCGTCTCACCTCTATATAATGGTAGATGACTTGTACGGAGGATTCACAGGATCTCCCGATCAGTTCAGAACAAGCTCCTGCATCTTTATTCAGTTCGTGGAGATGGCGGGATAATAATAATAATAATAATAATAATAATAATAATAATAATAATAATAATAATAATAATAATAATAATAATAATAATAATAATAATAATAATAATAATAATAATAATAATAATAATAATAATAATAATATTGTTATTATAACTGTAAGAAGATTTTAAATTATTCGTACTTTATTTTCTACTCTAATAAATAGTCGTTAACCAATTTTAGAATGTGTTAAAATTTATAACATGAGAGTAGTCCATATGATTGTTGTCAAAACAATACATCTTTATAATACACGTGCTTCGGGCGCACGGTACAGAGCCTCCGGTGGTCAAAGTAAATGCAGGGCCCTGAACTTCAGCGTTACTGCTCATTTTCGAGAAGGTAAATAGGACGATTAAAACAAACTTGATCCTCGGCTCACATGTGTTTTTTTAAATATGTGTATGCACATTACGACACGGGCTTTAACCATTTTTATGCGTTGACGCAAGGCTTGTATTTTTTAAAAAACGTTCAGTGTAAGCTCACTG